ACGTACAGGGCTGCGCGCTTCGTGGACGCAGTGGGGGCGACGTGCACCCCGGGTGTATATTTACACATTCATGGGCGGTCCAGGGGTGCAGGAACTGTGGCCGGAGAGGGGGGGGGCATAGAGGGAAGAGGCTGAGTCCCAACACGTTCTGAAACTTAAGCATTGACGCTATGGTCAATGAATGGAAAAACGTCACCCCCGGCTATCTCGGCTTCCCGAGTTGGTGCACTTTCATTGCCCCCGGGAGGAGCTGCAGGGGTCGTCCGCTCGGCCAGGAGGGGAGACCAGGAGCCGGCCGTCCGTGACTCGCCGACAGCGGCGGTAGCTGGTGCTCTCCCCCTTCCCCGGCGCCAGTATACTGGGCCACTGGCCGCGGCTCCGGAACTCATACGGCGAAACGAGGCTACGAATGGCGGTGTGATCGGGTTACGTCGGCTCGAGGATTTTCGCTCCTTCAGGGCACGCCTCTGTAATTGATTTTGGGGGAGGTGACACACGTGCGACACGAGCCGGGCCTGGCGGACCGTGGACGTCAGATGAGCCATCAGGCACCCGGCGCGGTCCTCACAGGTCAAACAGTACCCTGCCGGCCCCCTCAGGCCGCTGCCCGCCCATCGGCGCACGCGATCCCTCGTCGCCTGCTGTTGTCACGAACCACGATTAGCTCTCAATGTCTGTGGGTCTAGTGCCATCATTATTGGTCAGCCCTGCGCGACGCTCACTGCGACCGGTGTGGGATGGCTTCAGCAGTGTGCTGCGGCCAGAGGGAGAGGCTCCGTTCGATCTTGTCGAGGCTGATCGTCGCGTTACAGTCCGTTTCCAGCTTCAGCCCAAAGGACAAACACAAAAAGCGCCACGGCATGAAGTCGGACCGGAATGGCAAGCACGAACCGTTGGCGACCACGTGACCGTCGAGAAGTGTCACAGGTCACCTCATGACGAGCGGCCAGACTCATCTGGAGAGAATTAAACTGTGCAACGTATACTGATCTGAAAATTTTGCACGAGCGGCTTTGAAATCACGGTTTCTGTTACACATAGCTCGTTGCAGAGAACTGACTTCCCCGACCCAGTAGAGCGAGCCCAGTTGAACGGGTACAGTTAGTCGGGGTTTCAAAAAGTCACGTGCTGTCCTGACATGGCCACCCGGTGCTAGCCTGTAACCCTAGATCAGTTTCCAATTCGCAACTAAGGATGAATTACATAAGCGCGGCTTCTGCGACGCAAAAGCCACTGGGAAAGCAACTTGAAAGATATCTATCTCACAGTACTAATAATTCCGGGCAGCATTATGATTTGTGCCAATATGGAGACACGAGCATTAGCATTAAGCTCACCAACAGAGCATTGTACACTTCCATCGATGTTTCGTTGAACCTCACAATCATCGGGGCTTGGCAGATCCGCAAGGATCCTAATCCACGCTCACCATTGTAACAGGTAACTTAAACATCGCTGGCCTGCAAAGTTTAACCAGTTATGCTTGTCGACTCAACCTAATCCGGCGCCGTACACCTCCACTGACTCCCATCCAACTCATTAGCATTCGTGTCAAACTTTCCACACATCTATTTTTGATCGGGCCGTATTATTCTATTAAAATATTTGCATAATTGGATAATGCGCTCACCACATGCCCAGAATCGGGCGGACCCGGCATCGCCAATATTCGCCGCCGCCACGCCGCGGCGAGAGCGGCGCAGCGGCGAACGCGCCGCCGTTGCCCGCCGCGGGCGATCCAATTATTTCGCATACGAAAAAAGAGCCGCACGGCCCGACATCAATCAGCGCCGGTGGCCGTTAGACACCACATAGAGGTGGTATTATTTTATCGGGCCGGATTGCGGCGGGGATTTGTAAGACGGGTGTGTCGCCCCGGACACATGAAGTCGATAGAGGTTATTATATATCGAGATTGGGCGCGGCGGCGGCAGCTGGCGCGCGACCGTCGCCCAGGCTATCTCTCGCGCTCCCCTCCCCTGCCAGCAGGGCGGGCCGCGAAGGAGGCCGATCAGACCGTGGCCGAACGCGGCCAGGGACCCGGCGCGCCACAGCAGCACGTCACGACGGCCGCCGGGCTGGTCAGCTCTGAGCGCGGATTTGCGCCTTGTAAGTGGTTTGTGGGAATGTGTGTGTACACCAGTGTTTTACGAAAGGTGGTGTTAAAAGATTTGGGACTTTAATGCAAGTGAGATTGGAAACAAGGCAAAGAGCTTCTGAAACTTGCTGCGCAACAATTGTCAGCATTGGTGGGACAGTTTTTACTGACCACGACACAAAGTGCGGCTTTGAAGGCATGCACGTTTTCAAGATTCGATGATAGGTTACACATCTGTTGCTGGATATTTCTGGTTTCCATGGTGATTAGATCAGAATAAAAGCACAGGGAATTGTGGGAAATGAGGAGTAGTACATGGGCAAGGTTGAGCGCTGTGTATGCCATGACAAATTTCGTATCGCAGGCTTGAAAGTGTGTCACAAAACTAGTTGTGTATTCTACGTTATATGGAAGCTACCATAGTCGTGTCAATGCTAGCGCTCCAATTTTAGGGAAATGAGCGCCAGCGTGAAGGTGACCATTTCCGAATAAAGTTAAGGTGCATGTCTTGTCTAAAAGCGACGATTTCAACTTTTTTGAGCCGAGTGAGAGAAAGGAACGAAAATGGAGGGAGAGAGAGACAAACCAAGGAAGAAAGAGAATGTAAAGGAGGATGGGGGGAGTGCGAGAGAGCTGGGTAGAGCAAGTAAAGCGCGAGCGCCTTCTTGTTTCACATAAAGGAGACAGAGTGGAGAAGCAAAGAGGGAGAGAGAGGGAGGGCGAAGAAGTCGGTAAGGGAAGTAATGCTGGAGGTATCATGACCTACTCGTTAATGATGACTGATCGCATGGTAGGTCAAAGTCGAATAGCAATTTTGACGGGATCTGGTAATTCACAGATGTTATCGCAGTATTGACGACTCACCTGCACATGTGCACCAAGCACACCCCTATTAGCACAACGAAACTGATTGCCAGAGGCCGCGGCTTAACATCCGCTGGTGTTTTCTCCCTTCACCGAAGCCACCCTACCGTCGCGCTTCGTAAACGACGTGAACGCGCGCGGGGACGTTTAATAAAACTGTCCTCCACCCAATCTGCTACAACCGACCAAGAAATTGCCGGTCAGTGCTAATAATATGCAAAGGAGGCGACGCGGCCGCCTTGTAGTCCCCGGAAAGGCAATGCAGCCGCCCTGTAGTCCCCACAGCACCCGCAGAAGAGTTGAACCAGCAACCAGCCTTGCGTGCGTCATCTCACGCATGACCACTGACGCCCCACCAGAGCACAGGAGGAGATGTAGCCGCGGAGCCCGCGCGCCAAATGGTGTAAGTTGACATAAAGACTGGCATAGGACCATCCTTGCATTATATCCATTGTATTTTACACTGCCAGTATACAGATGGTTCGGAAACCTCACCACTACACACGTAAGTGATTGCGCGTATCTCCTGAAATGCTCATTAACAGGTGCGAAGTAGCATCAATGTTCAGCTGTGACATCAGTAATTGCATCAGGTACCCCGGAATGCCTCATCCGGGGCTGATGATTCTCTACATAAAGCCACCAGGCACTCTCCATTCGGCTGGTTCATTTGGTCGCGTTATACATTGCAGCCGTTAATTTAAGCGATCGAAAAATCGATAGAGGCCAACAGTTGTTTCTACGCGAATGGGGGTAGCGACAGGACTTAGACCACAAGAATTACAACACTATGAAAGCATGCATCACTTCGTTAAGGCATAAACTGGTGTCTTACCACAATTAAACAAGGGAAAATGGATTCAAACGAATATCAGTAAGTAACTAAAATGGCAGTTTTCAAATGTGCAGTGCTAAGACAGCATCACGATGAAAATGTAATGTTAATCATCATTAAAGGATTGTTTACTTGTTTTCTTGCACAATTAGGGCATGCAAGAGCAAATTTTCTGTAATTGTCGCTCTTCATATCCCGAATACCGAACACGTCATAAGTCTCGACAATAATGAGTAAATTCAGACAACGGGAAGAGGACTGCACATAGAAAAACGCGTTTTGTTATTAACTACAACATTGTCCGGGAATGTGCCTCCGAAGGTGGTCTGATATCATTAGGCATCAGCAGCAATGAATGTTACCTACATACCAACAACTGGGAAAATGATGGACATTACACGTCCCGGTCCGCGACAATAGGTCCAGCACCGGATGATTGGAAGTGATTCGACATCAGCTTTAACATATATATGATGTCGAATCAAATCGAGTGCCTACAAGCAATGCAGTTGAACGAGTACAGCTTGCTTTCTGTCACTGCAGCCCATGCGGGTCAGTTGCGAAATACTCGCCCGAGTTAAGCGATTTTGGTCTCTTCAGCTATAGCAGAAGCGATTAATAGAGATTCGTTGGCGAAAACCTGAAAATCACAGCTGCCATGGGCGAAAACGCGGCATGCACCGGCCAAAATCTACCTTGTACAGAAGTGTTTACTATGCGAGGCTTTGTTCAAAATGGCTTTCGGCTCAATTTGATCAACATCAAATTTCAAAACAGTGCGAGTGGGGACCAGGGTTGGTATGAAGAGAGATGGTCGCTCATCACGCCATGCATATATATATATATATATATATATATATATATATATATATATGCATGGTGCGTGTGTGCGTGTGTGTGTGTGTGTGTGTGGTGTGTGTGTGTGTGTGTGTGTGTGTGTGTGTGTGTGTGTGTGTGTGTGTGTGTGTGTGTGTGTGTGTGTGTGTGTGTGTGTGTGTGTGTGTGTGTGTGTGTGTGTGTGTGTGTGTGTGTGTGTGTGTGTGTGTGTGTGTGTGTGTGTGTGTGTGTGTGTGTGTGTGTGTGTGTGTGTGTGTGCATGCATACACTGAACTTTAAACGATAAATTATTTATTTTAACGTTATTCAAACATCGGGGCTGTTCGGCCGACAGCAGAGCCGCAATCCCTGACCGGTGCTGCTTACCTGCCAGAAATAAGGCAGCGGAGACCAGACCCGCCAGCATCCAGGCTGATATATTGGGGTGGTTCATCCCCGGGCTCTCTGAAAGCACCGCAGATCGTCAGTCAGCTGCGGCTGTCAGGTTGCCAGTCAGCCGCGACGACCAGGTCGAGTCAGCTGGGTGGACCTGGCTGAACCATCTGTGGGCTCTGATTTCACTGGAGATCTAGAGGCAGGGGTGGGGGAATGGTTTAGAAGCAGGTAGGTCCTTAATTATACACCGATATGGCTAGACATGACATTGAGCTTGTGTGGTACACTACACATATGGGACCGAGAGGCTTCTGGAATCCCTAGTCATGACAGCGTTATTGCCTAGGGAACATTTTCCATCCCTAGGCTGTAAGCTGTGTTGTGTGAGAAGAACAGAGCTGCGGAATGTGCCAGACCACAATGGAGCCTCAGTGCATTCCGTGCAGTGACTATTGCTCTGTTGACGAGACAGGCTCACGTATCATAAACAAATGCTGGTGTGGTACGTCCAAGACCCGCGCATGTCATCAACAGAGCCGAAAGACCTGCGCATGTCATCAACAGAGCCGAAAGACCTGCGCATGTCATCAACAGAGCCGAAAGACCTGCGCATGTCATCAACAGAGACGAAAGCACGCGACGAGCTGCACCCAGGGGGCTTTTCTAACTCTCTGCGGTCTTTATCCGTGGCCAGCTGACCCAGTCGCTTATATCTAGATTAAGAGCGATGCAATGCTTCCAAAGCGTAGGAAAACAGCGTGAGAGTGGCCAGTTTGGAAGCCCCGGAGTCACGACAAGCCCTGAGGGAGAGCCGTGGAGGTTCGTCTCCGGGCAGGAGGCGTTTGTCGCACCGATCGGCTCCTGTCTCGGCCAGCGGTCGATGTCGGCTGGCGGGCCGACCCTCGCGCTGTGCCCTTGCAGCGCCCGGCGTCTGGTCCGCCCTCCCGCTCCACTGCCACAGCGTCCGGCGTCTGGTCCGCCCTCCCGCTCCACTGCCACAACGCCCGGCGTCTGGTCCGCCCTCCCGCTCCACTGCCACAGCGCCCGGCGTCTGGTCCGCCCTCCCGCTCCACTGCTACAGCGCCCGGCGTCTGGTCCGCCCTCCCGCTCCACTGCCACAGCGTCCGGCGTCTGGTCCGCCCTCCCGCTCCACTGCCACAGCGCTCGGTCTTGGCGCCGTCTTCGTAGCCGAGGGACGACGGGTGTTATTCCGAGTGGCCCCTGTTGTGGTGGCGTCTCATTGTGGCGCAGATTTACTATTCCTATCCGAGCGATGAGCTATTAGAGCGGCGCGCCTAGTCAGCACCCATGCAACAACAGGCTGGGGAGGGCGCGCTGTTCGGCACGCGGCGCAGGACGCACGCCGGCGAGCCGAGCGCATGCAGCGCACGGCGCACGCCGGCGAGCCGAGCGCACGCGGCGCAGGACGCACGCCGGCGGGCTAAGCGCGGCCCAGTCACTTGGCTGCCCGCGCGTGCCCCCACAGCTGGGTGCCAACAGCTTCATTAGATTTTCGAAGGTTGTGGTGCGGCGCCAGAAGGCATTGATAAAACGGCTGAGCAGGGCCGCAGTTCGTCAAATAGAGCTGGGTTGCTCGTGGGAAAATAAACAGCTGATGCGCCAAGTTTGTCAAAGTGCAGTGAGTTCGACGCAATGTTCTACAGAAAAGTATAGCTCGCCTGTCGGCTATCAATTCCATTACCAAGCATTTGTATCTTTGGCGTATGCTGGACACAAGCCATGATCAATTCCGTGCTCTACTTCTGTAGATACATGGCTGCCTCGTAAAGCGCACCAATCCCTGTCCTTCATTTTTGTGGACCAGCTGCACTATCAATATCTGTAACAAGACACTAAGAACCGTATGCTACGGTCTCAACGGCGCATTGCTGCGGCTTTCCCCGAGAATATGACGCCAGTCAGTACTGGCGTATGTGGGAAGGCCGTACTTACATCTTTGAGTCCTCAAGCAAACTGACAGAACCTTTTCAACATGACAAAACACGTAAAAACACGAGTGTAGAGTATCATCATCATCATGGTAAAGGTTTAGGCTGTCCATCGGATACGGTTCTTCGTTGCCAGCAATCCGCGATCGTTCTTTTCAAGACGTGATGGATCGTAATAGTGTCTTTCCTCTAGATGGTCCGCTATTTCCGCCGATAATGACTCTTGGCACATCAAAGGGCCCGCGATCCGGTTTTGCAGATATCCGTCAGATTCCCTTATGATAACAGACATTTAAAAGCCCACATACGCGTGTCCTTCAGTCCAGCGTTGCGTCAGAAAAACTTCGAGCAAGAGCTGCTCGCGACCCAGAATCGATCGAGTTCGGCCGTGCATCACGCACATTTGGCTCTGCGGTCCACCTCCACCCCGACACGCCCCACGTGTCAGAGCCCTGGCCCGAGGTCAGCCGCTCCCAGATCATCGCAGACATTGTCATAGCCTGACGCCGGGTCGGCGTGTGCCGGGCATCTCCGTCGGGGTCGAGAGGGACATCAGCGCCGTCTGGAGCGGCGTTCGGCCGACGCTCACGCCCATCTGGCGTCGACCCCGCTCGTCCGGCCACCGCCGGCGCCGCATTATACCCGCCTGTATCAATAAAGGGGCTTATGCAATCAATAGCCCAACCTGAAGGCCCAAAATAACGGCCAAATATGGTGGAAAATTGGCTCGTAAACTGTTGGCGTGGCCGACATTATCCCTGCCGGCGTCGTCGCGGCCGTGCTCGACGGACAACAGCCGGACGACTGTCGGGCTGGCTTTGGGAGACGACTGGACGGGCAGCAGCCGGACGACTGTCGGGCTGGTAATGGGGGGCGACTGGACGGACGACAGCCGGACGACTGTCGGGCTGGCACTGGGGGGCGACTGGACGGACGACAGCCGGACGACTGTCGGGCTGGCACTGGGGGACGACTGGACGGACGACAGCCGGACGACTGTCGGGCTGGCACTGGGGGACGACTGGACGAACGACAGCCGGACGACTGTCGGGCTGGCAATGGGGGACGACTGGACGGACGACAGCCGGACGACTGTCGGGCTGGCACTGGGGGACGACTGGACGGACGACAGCCGGACGACTGTCGGGCTGGCACTGGGGGACGACTGGACGGGCAGCAGCCGGACGACTGTCGGGCTGGCACTGGGGGACGACTGGACGGGCAGCAGCTGGACGACTGTCGGGCTGGCATTGGGGGACAACTGGACGGACGACAGCACCCGGCTGTTGTATTGTGGGTGGCGACATGGATCTGAACCCGGTCAGACTCGGGCTCGGCTTCAGAGTCAACATGCTTTGAATCTCTGAACCCAGTGAGGAATCGTGGACTTTGACATGGTGCTGCTGCTTTGTAAGATGCTGCGACAAAAATCCGTGCCGAAAAGAAGTCGCAGATACCACAAACTATCTTTTGTTCGGCAAGTGGTTTGTTTTGAGTAATTTATTCTTGTGTGCTTTAAAACGCATCTTTTCCCATGTCAGCAAATATTTTTAGACAAATAGATAGGAACGTGCTGCACTTCCGCAGCCTCTGTATAACGTAGTGGGTTGGAATGAAGACAAGCGTTTGTTTTATGTCTTTATGTTGTTCCAAAATCAGATCGTGCCGACTTGTTGACGTCACTTAGAGTAATCGGGAATATATCAGAATCCTCGTGGCCTGGTATACCCCGTAATAAGAATCGACGTTTAGACTTCATCCGGTTGTTAAAGGGAATGTTTTACATTTGAAGACATTGAAGCAAGCATCATATATGATGAAACAAGCTCACTTATAACTATTGGTAAACTTTTTAAGAAGAAAAGACTACTCTGACAGCACCATTCTCTCCTTAGTGAATATGCTCCTCAGTGCGTCATGATTTGACTACGTCATCCTACCTTGGGCAGCATTTATTGAGGGCCAATTGACGGCCGTTTCATCTGGAAATCGCGCTCACGAATGCCAGATATGAACGCCTCGACAATAACATTTTTCTTGGCCTTGATCGCCGCACGGTCAATGAAATGACAGGGTGTGAATAACGTTATTATCACGTAATCAATGCCAGGGTGACCTTGAAACACTCACCAATGCACCTTTCCACATTTCGCGGGCGACTAGCTCAGAAACTTGGGCTCAACTAGAGTTAGGACAGGCGTCTAGCTCAGAAGCTAGAGGAGCCTAAGCCTCAGGAGGGCAGTATTAAGAACAGCATCGAAAGGTTTTCAAGATGGCTATTTCAGCTCAAAACCCGATATAAATGTGGAAGACTCCCTTAAAAGAGATGTTATCGTAGGGCCGCGTTACCTTTTCGATATGTGTGCACACGACGGTTATACACGCGACAAATGTCTTGTTATGCAACGATATCATGCGCTGACTTTGGCGCCGATCGCCTCCCTCCACAGGTAGCTGGAAGGCTTTTCGGTAACTGACTCCAGGGCCACCACAGAAAAAGCTTCCTCTCCACAAAAAAAGCTTTTAACATCCGTCGCACCTCATCGGCACTTACAGGTCGGGTGTGAGCCGCTCCTCCAGTCCCAACCGTCAGAACGGAGCCCTGGAGGTGGGGAGGGGAGCGCGGCTACGTGTGGCAGCATGGCATGTGGGCATGTGAGAGATGCGGGCCTCTCTCCTGTTCAGTCAGTTCAGAAGCACCCGAAGGGAGCAAAATCGGACGATGGTGCGTTTGTCGCCAGAGGCTGTGGAAGTGGGGTGGGGGGGGGGGGGGTAAGTTGGCTGAACTAAATCACAGATGACCGGACACGCTTGTTCAAGATCCGACGTTAGCCGACAGCACTGCTCCAGAACTCGCCTCGCCGGAGCTGGCCTTCCCGGAACCGGTTCCGGTCAGCCGCAGGCGTGCCAGCCGGCCCGGGACGCCCAGCAGTGACCCCGTCATCGCCCGAGGCGAGAGCGTGACTCGCCACATCAAGCCCGAGATGACACCGGTTTACGGGAGCTCGGCGATGCGTGGCACGCCGCCGCCAACCGAGTTATGAGCGGTTGACATTCCGCGGGGCTGTTGCTCGGGCGTGGGGCTGGCGGTCCGTGGACGCGGCGGCCAACGGCAGCCGT